GGGCATCTGTGTGAGTGCACATATCTGTGCATGTCTTCTAGGCTCACGTCCTCATTCCTTCAGGTTTCCTATCAAATGTCTCATGCTGCCTTCTAGCCTTTGCTCCCTAATGCCGTGTTTCCTCATTGCCCCACCATCCATTTTCTGCCTCTTACACTATCACGTAAGACCCGAGAACTGAGGGGCTGGATCGTATTTGCTCAGCTCTGTCCCTGTAGCTCACAGAAGAGTGTCCTGGGGTACATGGGTGCTCTACAAAAACATGTCCTTAGGAGATGCAGGTAATTGTGCCTCACCCTTCCCTCCAGGCTGACTGGCTGACTGGTTTGTATAATTGCACCAATCTGCAGTGCTCCAGGAAGAACAGTAGTGGGACTTGGCTGGGCTGGGCTGGGCAGGCCCCATGACTCAGACAGTTCTGTGGGAATCACTGGCTTTTGGTGATAGGCAGCTGTTCTGGATCCTCAACATGACACGCTTGCTCTAAACAGCCACGGTTGAGTTTTTCCTCTCTTGGGACCTTCTAGCTACCCCAGGGAACCTCTTCTCTCCTTTCAAGGAGCAGCACCTGCCTCATGAATCACAACCCGCAGATGGGATGAGGAGCAGGGAGGTCAGTAAGGAGCCTGCAGCTCGTGTGCCCGTGTGGACTCCAGCCCTCCCGACCGGGCACCAGGGCCTCTTTACCGCCTCATAGAAAGCTCTCAGGAAGTTGATCTCGTCCATCAGGGCATCCACCTTGGCCTCCAGCTCTACCTTGTTCATGTAGGCAGCATCCACATCCTGGGCACAAAACACAAGATCATTCTGGGGTTCTTCCTTCCTGGGTTGGCCAGCAGCCTCCGGGAGCCATCTCTGAAACTAGTGGGATACCTTCAGCTCCCAGGAAAGGCCATGCCTCTGCTCCATGCTATGGAGTGGACCTGGGGATGTCCACATAGTGTGGCCCCTATGAATGCCTGCCTGCTCATCAGCTAGTGCCACTTGAAAGGTCTCCTATGACACCTTCCATGGCAAGGACACTGCATCCTGAGCCCTGGGACTCCCATTGCCTCTGGGCTCTCAAGCCTCTCCCCAAAGCCTGTGTGGCTTCCCATCCTCATGCCTCTGCCCATCCTGTCTCCCTCTCACCCTCTCGAAAAGTTGCTCTGTTCTTATTCCAGCTTAGTCCTGGGAGGTCTCTCCCTTCCTCTGTTCCCACCAAGCAGACTGGCCAGATCTTTAGATCTCTGACCTGATACCTCTACCGCTTCACCACCAATCCAGGCTCCATTTTGTGGATTCTGGGCTCAGGACCAGGCCCCTTTGAGTTTCCCTCTCCTTGCACTGGACCATGCAGGGAGAGGTCCTGGGGTATGATTAATACATCTCAGACTTGGGAGTCCTGGATTCTGACCCACTTCTGATTATCTGGGTACCTATGGACAATAAACCAAACTTACCTGGCCCTCAAGTTTCCTCACTTTTTTTTTTTGTCTTTTTGAGACAGGGTCTCCCTGTAGTCCCAGCTGGCCTGGAACTCACAGAGGTCCACCTGCCTCTGCTTCCCAAGTGCTGGGATTAAAGCACCATGCCTGGCTCGAGTTTCCTCACTTTTAAAGTAAAATATGTCTCCAAGATTTGTCATGCAAATCCAATAAAGGCTATAGGAATGGCGCTAACGTCACTGGAAACTCTGCCGCCCCCAGGAACCTGCCGTCAGCGGGAGCGCCTCTTCCCCTCACCTTCTTGAGCACCACGAACTCATTCTCTGCTGCAGTGCGCCTGTGGATTTCCTCTTCGTACCTGTGGGAAAGGCCAAGAAGGGTGTTGGTGGAGGGCTTGAGAGTGAGATGGGAACTATGATCTAGTGGGCACACGGGAAATAATTTGCTATAGAATATCTCCCTGTACATGCATGGTCTCAGAATTCCAAACCAAACACCCCTAGTTCTGCCAAAAGAGGACTCGAGCTGCAAACGGCAAAGCAGACTGTCCTCTTCCGGGGTGCCTTTTCACAGAGCCTGTTCTCTAAAGAATCGTGCCTTCCTCCCTCCTCTTCCTCCTCCTCCTTCTCCTTCTCTCCCTGTTCCTCTTCTTCCTCCTCCTCCTTCTCCTTCTTTCCCTGTTCCTCTTCCTCCTCCTCCTCCTTGTTTTTGACTGGCAGCCCCTGACCTCTAGCCTAGCTCCTGCATCCTCTGGTGCTGTCACGTCCCCTAATATTCTCAGTCACAGTGAATCTCATCCTAAGAGGCGGAGTCGTCAAGGTAATGGGAGCCCCTCTGCCCCGGCTTTCTTATCTCCAGTCTGCTCCTGATCTGTCTGGCCACTAGAGCGGCCCTTCCATTACAGGTGGCCCAGGCTGTTACCCAGGCTGCCTTAGCACCAGTGTATCATATATTTTCTCCCAACGGGCTCCTCGCTGTCTCCTCAGCTGCCTTCTTATGAAGCATTTTCTTCACCTATGTTTATACAACTGCCCTTGTTTTCCCTGTTTCTCAGCTCCTAGTCTTGACACATAGGCCACTTGGTCTCCACAGCAGCACTGCTGGTCATGAACCAGGAGCACACTCTTCAACACACACCTGGCTGTGTCCTTCCCATGCCTTCTTCCTCCTCAACCTAATCTGTAGTCTCCTCCTTCAGGGAGCATTCTTGGATGGAAACACTCTTTCCCATGTTTGCATGCATGTTATAAATTATCATCTCTATAAGAATTATGCAATTTTGGAGTCTTTTAGATAGACCCACTGAAGGGTACTCCAATCTCTTCACCTGCGTCCCTGTTCAGCATGGAAGAAGCCAGAGCGGTCTGTGTCCCTATTCCCTATTGGCAAGTTGGGCAACCCCTTCAGAGGATGGCGTGATAAAAATAGGAGGTAGGAATTGGCTAGGCAGTTAGGGTAAAAAGACCCCAAAGAAAAGTAGCCAGTTTCTTGGCTAAAAGTCAAAATGTCCTTGGGCCTCTTAGCAACACACTCTGTTCCAAAGGCCAAAAATGTCAAAAGTACTTGGGAGCTCTTATCTAATCTGGGGAGATATGGGAGGAGTTAGAGGGGAGGGAGTGGGCATGGATTTGATCAAAATACCTTATATGCACGTATGACATTCTCAATAAATTATTTAAAAAAATAATAAATTATCATCTGTACTTGCCTTTCTGTTCCAGGGCTGAATCACTACATGTCTGCCTAATCATAACAGAATAAAAATAACTAGTACATCTTACTACATGCTAGACCAAGTGCTTTCCATCACTGGCCACAGGGGTGACTCAGCACTTGAAATGGTCTGGTATGACTGAGGAGTTGAAGTTTAAGTTTTACTTAAATTTATTAAATACTAATTAAGGGCCAGGTGTGGTGGGGTACACCTTTAATCCCAGCAATTGGGAAGAGAGGTGGATCTCTGTGAGACCAAGGCCAGCCTGGTCTACATGGTGAGTTCCAGGCCTGCTGGGACTACAGGGAGACCCTGTCTGAAAAAGACCAAAAAATATTGATTAAAATGTTCTTAGGGGCTTGGGTTCTTACTACATTATACAAAGATCACTTCATGGAGCAATTAATTTGGGTTGGAATAATGGAATTAAAGAAAAATTAAAATAAGAAAAATAAGGAATAAAAGCAATAAAAATAAGAAAAAGGAATAATAAAAAAAGAGCAATGAAAAGAAAAACATGTCTAAAAGCACAAGCGCACGTGTGCGTGTGCGTGCATGCGTGCGTGCATGTGTGTGTGTGTTCTGTGTGTACATGCACATTTGCAAACACATGCAGATGGTCCTGGGAGAAGGCTGCAAGTACATCTTTTTCTATCTCTGTTCCTCCAGCCTCTTGGGCATTGCTGGGATGAATATATGAACCCTGTAAAGGAGCATTTAGTTGAATAAATGTGAGTGAGAGATTCCCTGGCTTTATTTTTTAACTCATGAGTTGCCCTTTGTATAACTTTGGATAACTGAGCTGCCATTTCTGAGCCTGAATTTCCTTATCTGCAGAGGTTAAACGTTGTTACATAGGCATAAGTCTTTGAACCTATGGTAGCCATCACTCTGTTAGCCCCAGCGCTCTTCCTCAAAGCCACAAAATTCTGGACCAAGGGTCCATGTTTTCTACTTCATGTCTGTTTGATTACATCTCATGACCGCCCCCCCAAGTGTATGTCCCATTCCCAATGAATGTGTGTGTCGGGGGGTGGATTTCAGAGAATACGGCCCTCTCCTCCTACCCCTCTGGCTTCTCCGAAAGCATCAGGGGACCCCAGGAGGGAGAAGCTGAGTTCCCACTCACTTGTTCTTGAAGTCCTCTACCACATCTTGCATGTTCTTCAACTCTGTCTCCAGCCTTCCCCGTTCTCCTCCCAGACAGTCCAGCTGTCGCCTCAGATTGGCGATGTAGGCTTCAAACATGGGCTCGAGATTGGTTCTGGTGGTTTTGTGGTCTTGCAGGAGGCTCCATTTGGTCTCTAGGACTTTGTTCTGCTGCTCCAGGAATCGCACCTGCCCAGGTCAGAGGTAAGAGACTGTGAGGGGATTTCCCTGTTGCAGTCTCCCACATGCTCTGAGATACAGGACTTCCTAATAGTGCAGGGGCTCTGCATGACCTCAGAGCCCAGGTGGTACCTCCTCTTCCTCCTCCTCCTCCTCCTCCTCCTCCTCCTCCTCCCCCTCCTTCTCCTCCTTATCCTCCTCATCCTCCTCCTCCAACTGCAGGGAGCATGGGATTCGGAGAGCCAAGTCAAAATGTTAGTGTACTGGGCTTGGGAGACATCAGAATACACCAACCATGATGACATGTGATAACACAGGAAAAGAGCATTGCATCTGAGCCTAAACTGATTCCTATTAAGTGGGTAGAAGGTTTGCGGCAGAAAATTCATCTGTTCATTTTCTTTCTGTCAAGATTTCTCAGGATCTGGATTCTGGACTCAGTTGCTGGTTTACTTCAGAAATATTGGTGTGGGCCACTCAAGAATTGCACTGAAGGAACCTGGACACAATCTCAACCATGTCTCTCAGTGGTTGGGTGGCCTTATACAATCTCCTCTCTCACTTTGCTCTTTAGGGCCCTTGTGATTGTGGGCTGCTAATTTGGGTTTCTGGATTTAACCCTATCTGCTCCTCATTCTGGGAAATATGCAAAACTCTCCCCTCCCGCCTCAACCTAAAGTCCTCTCACTGGGAGGGACTGCAATGTCACTTAGCCTCCAAGAATGAAAGAACAGTCTCTCCACTACTTCAGTGATGCAGTGTCTCTACAGGGGTCTTTAGCAAATGCAACTTTCTCTCCCACTCCCACTGTAGGAGAGAGGACACCCGGGCTCCAAGTCCTTCCCTAGTCCCATGCCCTATTCCCATATCTCCTCTGGATGAATCAGGGAGAAGCAAAGCCCAGGATTTTCCTTTCTCAGCCAGGCTCCTGGAAGCCACATCTCTGTTGGCATAACGCAGGCCAGCCAGGAGGGGTGACATGGGTAACAAAGCTAGAGAACAGGTGCCTTAGCAGTGCCTTTGGTGAGGTCTACCCACCCAACAATCTTCTCCCCATGCTGAAGCATTCAGTGTCTGGCAGAGCTGCAAAGGGAGGGAGAGTTCACCTGTTCCACCCTACAGGAGCCCAAGAGGAGGGGCAACTCTCCCCACAGTAGAGCCCACACTGGAGCCTGAGCTGAGAGGCCTCTTGGCTTAACACTTTCTTCTACACCCCAGAAATTTAGCACAAGTGGTCCAGAGCTGCGACCCTTCTCCCTTCCCAGATGAGGCATGAGATGGTGATCTACAACAGAACCACGTCCCGTAAGGGCCTTTCCCAGAGCCAGGGACCTCTGTGACGCCAAATCATGCGGCAGTTGAGACTGAGGCTGAAGTCCCACGTTTCCCTTCACTGACAGAAACACACTAAATGCTCTGAATGCCACTTTACTGCCCATTCAGCCTCCCGGATACACCCTATCACCAGGGCATGTCACCAGAGCAATGCTCCTGCCTCAAGAGGACATTAGTGTTGACTAACTGGGTGAGGGAAAGGGACTCAGCTCACTTCTATGAACTTTCAGTCTTCTCTTCTCCATCCCTTTTCCTTCAAACTGACCTCCTTATCTGTCTAGCTGAGCCCATAATAAGCACTGGCCACCAGAGTCGCAGTGTCCTCATTGTGGGTCTGAGACCTCTGGGGTCTGTGGATGGACATTTTATTATCCTGCCTCATCAGTAGACTGACTAGCCTCCAGGTGCACAGGTCCTGGGAAGCCAGTTTGTTTCAGGAAAACCCAGAAAACAAAAATCTCAGACGGAAGCTGCTTTAATAACAAAGACCCCACCTGCCCCTCACCTTGTCAATGAAGGAGGCGAACTTGTTGTTGAGGCTCTTGATCTGCTCCTTCTCCTCCTTGCGAACTCGCTGGAGGGATGGATCGATCTCCAGGTGTAAGGGGGTCAGGAGACTCTGGTTGACAGTGACTTCGTGGATGCCCCCAGCTCCAGGGGCCATCCCACCTCCAAATCCATATCCACCGTAGGCTCCCCCAACTCTGTACCCTATGCCACCGACACCCAGCCCACAGCTAGCAACGCCAAAGCTGGCCCTGCTGGAGCGGAAGCCCCCACCAATAGAGATTCTCTTGCTACCCCCTAAGCTGTGGAGGCTCCTTGTCCCAAAACCACCCCCAAAGCCACTGCCAAAGCTCTTTCCGCTCTGGGACACAGAGACAGAGCTAAAGCCCGGCCGGCAGCCTGGGAGGAGGCTGGCTGAGGAAGCACTGAAGTTCCGTGTGCCCCCCGATTTGATGGTCACAGAGGATCGCTGGGTCATGGTGGAAGTTGCTGTCAGAAGGCAGCAGAGCAAAAAATGTTAGAAGAATGAAGTCTTGGCTCTTCTGGACTTGCCTTGACTTTTATCCCTTTCAAGAACTGGGCTTGGCCAGAGGAGATCAAAGACCACTCTGTTGAGTTCACTTTAATGGCATGTCTGGCCACAGCCCATCTTCCTGCCCGCTAATCACCGTGGGGAACACCCTACCCTGGGCAGGACCAGGCCTGGCTTCAGAGCTCCCCACCTTCCCAGGTTCTGTCATACACTGTGGACACTCTGCTCCATGCCCAGATCCCAGGCTCCATACCCAAGCATCTTACTCTGCCCATCCTATCCTGTTCATTTACATATAAAAATCCCGTTTATTGAGGATTGAGTCTGTGCCCACCATGTGGAAGGTCTACCACAATATCGTTACATTTGATTTTATAGCTCTGTGAAAGTAGATGAATTATTGCCAGCGTCTTTTGAACACGTCATGAAGCTGACCTTCACCCCACTTCTCATTTAACCCTCGACATCAGCTGTTCTTGTTCTTGGTTTTCACGTGGACTAATTGGAGCATAGACTGGTTAGGCACCCTGGCTAATAGCAAGTGTTGGACCAGTATTAGAGCCCAGTGGTCTGACTGGGTCATATGCCCCAAATTCCTGAACTTCACATAGCTGGGGAAAAATCCACAGAGGATGCGATGTCTCTTGTCCTAGGGAAGAAGCAGTCAGGGTGCCACTCCAAACTCTTGTCCCCCAGTTGCTGTAACCCCTTCACTCCTATCCCCACCCCTCACCCCCAGTGCCTTGAGTCTTAGCTTGCCCTTTTCCAGGAATTTAACAATCGCTCTCAGGGTCTTTTCTCCCTGCCCTGAAATCCTTACCCTCCTCACCGTTCTAAACACGGTCCCTTGTTTTCCTCTCTTCTCGTTGGTGTCATGTGCCATTGAACTTCTGCCCTAGCATGAATGGTTCTCACAACCCTGGTTGGCAGCTCCCATCACTTCACACTGGGTCCTGAGTACTGAGCCCACCCTGTCCAAGCACACCTGATCCCTAAGTGAGCTTCATCACCCAGCTCAGTCCTGATGGGAAGGGTTCAGGAGACTTGTGAGCTCAGGAATGTGGGGGCTTCCTGGGCGTCTCCCTACTGCCTGCAATTTTGCAGTTATGGACTCATTGGCTCCTCTGCCTGGCCCCAGGGCTGACTTTTAACTCCTCTCCTAACCTTTTATTTCTCTGCTCAGGTTTGCAAGTTTGAAGCTGTCAGAGAACAATCTGCTCCTTTGCTGTCTGAGGCCTGGGCCACCCACCCTACGTCAGTGCTGTCCCAGAACATAGGCTGGTTTGGGAAGAGGATGACCTCGCCCTACATGACATACTGAGCAGGAGACTGGGCAAGGCTTCTGCCTAGGGGTTGGGGTTTCCTAAACAAAACATCCCAAGGAGAAGGGAGAAGGCTGGTGGTCTCCTGCCCTCTCCACGCCGCCCTCTCCACGCCACCCTCTCCACACCACCCTCTCCATACCGCCGCCCTCTCCATGCCGCCCTCTCCATGCTGCCCTCTCCATACTGCCCTCTCCATACCACCCTCTCAGTTCCGCATGAAGGGACAACAGTTGTGTTCTGAGCACTGCCTGTGTTGACCCCTGGCTTGGGGAAGCCTGAAAGTCAGGACAATTTTGGGGGGCACATAGAGGGCTGAGCCAAACACATTACACATGCTGTTTAATAGGCACATTCAGAGGAGGGAATAGGAACACTCACTCTAGCTGGCAGTTTGTAAGCAGCCAGTGATGAGACAGCCTGACGTTAAGGTGGCCTGAGAGACATGGACTCCCCTGTCACTGCATCTGGGGGGAAGGGACAGGTGGCGTTGAATGGGCATTTGTGGATACCTGGTCCTAGCAGGATCCATTGAATATGAATTGTGGAAGAGAATGGACCTTGGGTTTGTGTGTCTAGCACAAAGAAGTACCAGGAGCAACTTGGGGACTACAAAGAGGCTGCCTTAGGCCAGTGATTGATTTAGTCAGGGTATCAGGCCCCTTGGCAGCACAGGAGGGCCCTGTGAAGAGGAGGTGGGAGAAGGGCCCAGGCATCAAGGTACAGGTGAGAAAAGGCTTCAGGGCAGTGACTAGGGGAGTGGTTGGCTGCTGGCCTTAGTGCCTGTAGCTTTTCCTGCTGGATGATGTAGTGGAAACAAACTTGATGCTGGAGCCACTGCTCCCTGGGCCCCGGCTGCTGCAGGTGGTGAAGCTAGAGCCTCCCAGGCCTGCACCCAAGCTGTGCCCACTGCTGGTGGTGAAGTTGTAGCCACTGCTCCCATTGAGACCCAGGCTTCCACTTCCCAAGCCGCTGCCACCGCCATAGCCACTGGAAACTGTGGAAGTGACCACGGCTGCAGAAAAAAGGAGACAGGGTTAAGCATCTGGTGTTAGAACCTGTGTCCTGAAGTCCCTGGGGAGGCAGGCAATGGGTGGTCTCACAGGTAGGTGCTGATCTTCTTCCTATCTCCTGTCTGCTCAGTGAGACACTGAGCTGGGCTGTAGTGCCTGCATTCTCCAGGTAGGAAGGACTTTCTTCCTCCTCTAGGCTACTCTCTTACAGAACCTACTGAAGAGTTCTCCAGGATGCTGTTCCCCCTGTGGCTGTGTCTGATCCTGTCTCCCTCTGTTGGCTTGGTTCTGGGGTCTTCTTCCTTCTGAGAGCTCATATGAGATGTACATGTCCTTTTCCTGGTATCCCCTTGGCTTTGGTGCTCTAAACACCATTGATGCCTACCCTGGAAAGGCCTTAGCACCTTCCTGTAGCAACCCTCTGCAGAGCTGAGTTAAGCCTTTTGCCAGACTGTTCAGAGGAGGCAGGGCCCCCTTCTAGCCACACTCTGGGACCTAACCCGAATGCCGTCTCCAAAGAGTCTGGGCAGAACCAGGAAATTTCCTAAGTCCTGTCTGTGTCAAATACTTGTTTCTGAGCTCTCTAAGTTAGGCTTGCAACTCCAGAGAGACTGCATGTACTTCTGGAAGGTAGGAGGTGTGGCTACGGCTTCTAAAGTGCCTATAGGACAATACACAGAACGTCCCATCACCTGTTTAGTGGTGTGGCACTCACTCCCAAAGGTAAGAACTGTGGAACTAAAGATGCTCATCTAACTTGGCAAGAAGAGGCAAGAGAATCAGGAATTTGAGGCCAGTCTGGGCTCCATGAGATCTGATTCAAACAAACAAACAAACAAATAAACAAACAAACGAGAACCTTTAGCTCCACACTGATGCTCACTTGGGTGGACCTAGTTACACTCAACGGATTACAAAAGATAAACGCAAACAGAACAGAAATGCATTAAAAGAGGAGGGAGACTTGTTGGGATAGGGGTTGGCAAGGGGGAAAGAGTGGGGGTAAGAGTGATCAGAGTACATTATATACATGTATGAAATTGTCAGAGAATAAATTTAATTTAAAAAGACTACCAGTACCACAATGAATAATTAATATAATAATATAACAATAATATGATATAAAAAATCCACAGCCCCCTATGGCTTTCTCTCTAACATACCTAAGCCCTCAAACTTTCTAAAAACAAATCTGCCCGTGAGGTCCTCTCAGTTTCTTTCTGTATACCCCGCCCCGAACCACACGTCTGCAAAGTCACACAGGGTGTCATACTCACAGATGTTCACTGGAGAAACGCCCTCTGCACTCAGCCTGATTGGGAGGAGGGAGGAAAGGTTACTACGGTGGCTAGCATCTCACAGGTATTTGCAGTGACATTTTTGCAAATGTTTTAAGTGTTAAAAAACTATTATCTTTATTGCAGAAATAAAGTTGAAATTCTGAAAATACTAGCAGAACCAAAAATAATCAAAATCTAATAGATGGAATAATGTGGAGCTTGAGGTTCAGAGCAGTAAAACCTGTAGTCTCAGAAACACAGTTTTCGTCGCATACTTGGAACTAATATATATTGAGAACCTGCTATATACGTCATGCCATTTTGTTCTCCTGACAACCCTATTAGGTGTTATTCCCTTAATTTCATAGTGGGAAACTGAAGCTCAGAGGGGCTCATTAACTTTCTCATTGTCCATCTGTCTCCAAAACCCTAAACTTTGGCCACTAAACTAAAGGAGAGCTAGTATTTTTTATTATATTATCTTTAGTGTGTGTGTGTGTGTGTGTGTGTGTGTGTGTGTGTGTGTGTGTGTGTGTGAGTGAAGGTACATACCATTTCTCTGTGTGTGCACGGGTGTCACTGTGTGTGTGTGTGTGTGTGTGTGTGTGTGTGTGTGTGTGTGTGTGTGTGTGTGTATGTAAGGGCAGATTCCTACAGAGGCCAGAGGAGTCAGATCCTCCAGGAGCTGGAGTTACAGGCAATTGTAAGCTGCCTGACATGAGTGTTGGGAACTGAACTTGGGTCCGCTACAAGACCAGTACACGCTCTTAACCACTGAGCCATCTCTCCAGCTCCAAGAGCTAGTAGTTTTTGATGTTTTGGTTGTTTGCCTTAACCTTTAACAGTCAAGCTATCACTCCAATCTATAGTACTTTTTCAAACACTTTTTGCATATCATGAGCTATTGTAAGTTTCATGCATATTGCCTTATTTTAGCCCTTTTAGTAATATACAACATCGGAACTATTACCCCTATTCTACAGGTAGGAACCCTGAGATGTGGGAAGGTTAAGAAACTTGCCTGTGGTAATGCAGCTGGTAACAGGCAGAATACCAAGCTCCCATTAGTTCTGGGGATCATCTAGTCTTCTGGTCTCTATTCTGCCATTGAAGAAACTGAGGGCTAGACATAACTGACTTCCCATAATGAGTGAGGGACCTGTAAACCCAAATCTAAAACAGTTTACTCTCAGTTCAGAACCTTTATACCACATTTCCAGACCTGTTATGTAACCAGACTTCTTTAATAGAATTAGGTTTCTTAGGCCTGCTCAGGTCTTCGATTTCTATGGGGTGTACCGTGAATGACTTCTTAGTTTGGAAAGAAATTGTACCTTCATTCAATTTCACCTGCATTTTGCTCCCTCTTCCAGTAGAGGATGGGCTGCAGCCAGCCTGGCCTCTCAGGGTACCTAGGCCCCTGTGTTTTCTTTGAGAACAGATTGGCAACCCACCTGTACTCCTCACCCTCCAGCAGCTTCCTGTAGGTGGCGATCTCCACATCTAGGGCCAGCTTAACATTCATGAGCTCTTGGTACTCCCGAAGCAGCCGGGCCATGTCCTGCTTGGCCTTCTGCAGTGCGTCCTCAAGGTCCACCAGTTTGGCCCGGGCATCCTTGAGGGCCAACTCTCCGCGTTGCTCAGCATCTGAGATGGCAGTTTGCAGGCTGGCACACTGAAAAGAAAGGGGTGTCATGAAATCTGTGGACAGATTCTGTATGTGGGGTGCTCTTTGAATAGGAGTCCTCAGAGATAGGAAAACCCTGAATAAACGGGCATTCTGGAGCTCTTGGACCGACTGGAATTTTACCTGCTTCTTCACGCCATCAATCTCAGATCTCAGTCTCTGGATCATTCGGTTCATCTCTGAAATCTCTTGCTTGGTGTTTCGGAGGTCATCGCCATGCCTGCCTGCTGTCACCTGCAGCTCCTCGTACTGATAGGATCAGGGCAGACATGGATACTTAGTGAATGCCTGTGTGCCAAGCAGGCCACTCATCACCAGTGACTCTCCCCTTCCCTCATTCATTTATCCAGGTGGTTCTTCTTGAGCCCATTTGCTTGTCAAGAAGGTAGCCAGCTCTGGGAATAATGGCACATGAGCACAGGCTGGCCCTGCTTTCAGAAGCTTACATTTGCTTGGGAGAGACAGACACTAAGTTGCATACTGCTTAATTTGTAGTTCCAAACAGGGCCCTTGAGAGTGTCATAAAGGAGTCTGACTTAGATTTGAAAGTGCTGAGGGAGTAACAGAGGGAGCCTTTCTTGAGACAGAGATGCTAAACTGTGGTCTTCAAGTTGGGTAGGAGGAGCCTCTGTAGCCAGCCTAGGGAGAGAACATTCCAGACAGAGGAAAGGACCTATGACATGACCCTGGGGCAGGAGGAACAGCGGTGAGTTCTGGGAGTGAGGAAGTCACTGTCACTGGGGTGGGAGGTTTCCTTGGCCTTGTGCATGCAGATGGACTGTGCCCATGAATTAAGGTAGCCATGCAGAGAACAGTGCTGAGAGCTGTGGAGGAGGGACAGGAAACAGTGTGGATGGCACAGTGTTGACCTGACAGAGACCCTGGTCTTGGTGGTTTTCATCCTAAAGGTGTGTCTCCATGGCATGCTTGTTTAGGAGAAATGGTATACTGGCCCCTCAGGCCCACTGGCATGAAACCCACACATTTCCCATCAAAAAAGCTCCTGCCAGAGTCAGTATCCATTGAGTTTGGGAAGTGCTGGACAGCTCAGCTCCCTGTTTCCAGATATGCAGGACTAGCAGGAAGAACAGCTCAACAACACAGGGAATTATCTATTATCAATTTCAACCACTTCCCTTTGGGGTTAAGAAGCTGTACTATGGACCCCTGCAAGCCCCTTCTTTCCTTCCATGTTTCGAGCAGAAGGGCAGTTTCACAGGGCAGAGCAAGGGATGAGAGTCAGAGAGTGGCGAGCAGATGTAAGGGTCCTGGGTTTGGCAGGGTGTCGATGCAGGGTCTGCTGCACTGTTCTAGCCCAGATTTAATGGCCGCCTGAGCCTTCAAACAGTAGTTTGGGGTCAGTCAACAGCCTCCTTCTTCCAGATACCGATCTTTTGCCTCACAAGTGTGTGTTCCTGCAAGTGTGTGTTCCTGCAAGTGTGTGTTCCTGCAAGTGTGTGTTCCTGCAAGTGTGTGTTCCTGCAAGTGTGTGTTGTTGCAAGTGTGTGTTGCTTGCTCAGCCTTAAACATTTTCTTGCTCTTTCGTAGTCTTTCGTCTTTCTGCTTCTCTGCTGGGCTAAAGACCTAGCTCTTCCTGGTAGCTCTTTGTTAATGCTGTCTTTTTCCCTTCGGTGATTGCCCATCTACTTCCTGACTTTCTAGACTTTGGGTTTTCTGGTTGCCGTTTCTTCATTTATAACCCCGAAGCCCTGCTTGGCAAAGTGCAGGAGCTCAGAGCATATGAATAGAAGTAATAGCCCTTTAGGACCTACCTTACGAATACTTCTTAGTCATTTTGGAGTTTCACCCAGTCCAACCTATAGCGAACAATGTGAGGACCATGAATGTCCTTCTGGGCATGCAGCGTTGCCCGGGCCACAGTGTATGCGGTTAGGTTTTCCTAGCATCAAAGCTGCGCCTACCAGGTTTTCTGAGAGAAGTGATGAAGTGCAGCCTCAGAACACTAACCCTGGGCTTATCACCTCACCTTGGTCTGGTACCAGGACTCGGCCTCTGCCCGGCTTCGGTTGGCAATGTCTTCATATTGTGCTTTGACCTCAGCGATGATGCTGTCCAAGTCCAGGCTGCGGTTGTTGTCCATGGACAGGACCACAGAGGTGTCACTGACTTGGTTTTGCATCTGAGAGAGTTCCTACAAGGTATCGACTCAGTGTCATCCAGGAACGAAAAGGACTATGAGTGCCTGAGGTGACTAATCACCTAGGTTAGGAATCACTTCTCTGGTGTCCCTGGCAGAGACCTAACTGTCTGTTCCCTGGGTATTCTCAGTCATGTTGAGGATCCCAATTCTTCCCACAGAAGTTTCTATACCACTGATCATTGTGGTGGGAGTTCCCCCTGAATTGCCTCTTTCGAGGTACCCATCAGTGTGGTTTCCTTGGGGATGGGGGTAAAAAAGTGTCCTTTGTATCCTAATCACATAGACTCAGATATGATGTTTGTTCACATGCTATATAAACGGGTTCTTCAGGATCAAATGGTGTTTAGGACCCTGCCACCCCACCCCGTAGTGTCGTTTCCTTCCTCTGTTTCTCTTTCCACAGATCCAGGTATCTGCTTTCCAGAGGGCGGGGCCTCAAATAAGGCATCTTTAGAGGTCAAGAAGTCATCTAACCAGTGAGCTGAGGGGCAGCTTGCTTCTGGATTTTTTGAGGAGGGAGTCTTCATTCCTAGAATGAAGCAACATGCCTTCCTTTGTAGGACTGCCCTACCATGGTGGGGAGAAGAAGCCTCAGAGTTGGGACATTTCCATGTGATAAAGTTTTCCAGCAGTTCCCTCTGCCCCTTCTCCCCCAGGGTCCAGCGTGCTTGGGATGAGATGCTGGTTGACACACTCTAAAGCATCCTTTGCTTTCCTGGCTCTGGTACCAAGAGCAACAGAAACACTTGTGAACCCTTACTGCCTCATAGATCATCCGGTAGAAGTTGAGCTGGTCAGTCAGAGAGTCGACCTTGGCCTCCAGCTCCACCTTGTTCATGTAGGCTCCGTCTACATCCTGGAACAACAGCCCAGGAGAGTCCTCTGAGAACCTAGCTCTGAACAGCAAGTCAAAAGGAGCTGAGCAGAATCTAATCTTGATTTCTGGGGATTCAGGTTGGGGAGGGTGATCACTGAGACTGGGACTTCAGTTTCCTGGGATAAAAAAAAAAACCTGAGCAAGGCCAGTGGGGCCTTTAACACAGGGAGACATCTGGGAGGTTTGTACCTCTTCATGGTCTCATTATTGATAGGGTATTTCTTGGGTGTCCCAAGGATCAGACCATCCTACCCT